GTTTATAGCAGATACTATATATGACAGCTAGTCCAGCAAGTATTTTCTCTGTTTGTACATTAATTTTGAATGTCAATTTTACTTTTATTTAGATAAGTACTAACAATCTTTTTTTTTTCACAGTTATGAAAACATGACTTCTAGGATATCAGTTACAGACAAGTGTTTTTGTGTTATTGTGGTCTACCGGCTCCGTTGCTAACATCGCGTCAGTCTCATAGCTTTGGGAGGCAGTTCTACGGTTGTGCCAATGGTGTTTCTGCTCTTTGCGGCTTCTTCCGGTGGGCTGACAGTCCCTTACATGACACGACCAACAGTCATGGGAATTCGGTGTTTTCTCAATTTGATAGTGCAGATGAGGACAGACGTAGCCAGAGTCTGAAATTAAACATTTTTATATTTCTGATTGTAGTTGTACTTGTATTTGTACTCTTTTAGTTCTCCTGATACTCATGAGGGTGTGAGAAATGTATGACATTTTTTAGTACTGATCTGTGATGATTTCATGTTTCTGCACTATATGTTTCAGTACTACCAATAAACTATTTTGAATAAGCTGCCCCAAACAATTTTATCACATAGGGGCATGAATGTCATTTAACCACCAATAAGCTATCTTGAATAAGCTGTCCCAAACAACAAGACAGATTATTCTGATAATCTGCAGATTATCAGAATAATCTGCTTATCAGCAGATTATAAATAATCAACAACTGCGTCAAACAGACCCGAACACCGCCATATCTCCTCGGGAGTCATGATGCACATTTTTTTTTCTATAAATTTATATATATTACCTCAAATTATATGATAATACAGGTCAATGACTTATCATAGTAGATCAAGTTACCAACAATATCATTTTTTTTTATAATGCTTGATGAAATATTTGATTGTCTTAAAAAAACAAAGTTGGATTAAGAAAAGTTATCACCATCTAACGGCCGCGCTCAGAAAGATGCCAAATTGCTAATCACCATGCTAATTAAAATTTGGGCCGTTTACATATATGCCACCCTCCACTTTATTTACATTTGTAACACCTAAACTTCAATTTTTATATTTTTTTCATTCAAATGTGTGGTATATATGTAATTACATAAGAATTGAGTGATATGTACGTAAATATTCCCTCAAACTAACTTTAAATATCTAATAAAAAATTAATTTTGGTATCCTATACGGTTAAGGTAAGTTATTCATCAATTAATTAACATATCCGTAGCTTTACACTCAATTATTTTGATGTTTTATTGATTTGACGTTTACAGAATGTTGCAATCTCATTTACGCATGGACCACACAATTCTTATGTATTTACATATCTAACCTCAAAACTTTCATATTTACATATATCACACTTGAATATATGATGGCACATAAAATTATTATTATTATTATTAATTTCTTTCAAAAAACAATACATCTTTCGATGCACAATTTTTTTTTACCTTAAAGTGTTATAAATATAAAAATCAAAATTTAAATGTTAGACTTGTAATTAGGGCTGTCAAAAAAGCTCGTTGTTCGCGAACAGTTCATGTTCGGTTCGTCGATGATTTCGTGTTCATTCGTTCTATAAGTAAATGAGATGAACGCGAACAAATCTTTTTTTGTTCGGTTAGTTAAACGAATCAAACACGAACAGTGATGCGTTCGTTCTTGTTCGAATTGTTATTATTCGAAATATAAAATAATTTAAAATAATTATATATATATAATTTGTGGTATTTTAAAAAATTAAATTTTATAAATTCTAATATATAATAAATTAATAATAATAATGTATTCACATACTACATTAGTAATATACTAATATAGATATTAAATATTTATCTAATATAAGTTATATAATTAATATAATATGTTATTTATATATATTAATATTTGGGATGTCAAACAGGCTCATCGTTCACGAACAGCTCGTGTTCGGCTCGCTCGTTAAGAAACGAACACGAACAGTGACTTCCCGAACAATTTCAAACACGAGCTTATTTCAAACGAACCGAATACGAACACAAGCTCTGTTCGTTCGTGTTCGGTTCGTTTACACCCTTACTTGTAATATACAGGAATTGTGAGGTATGTATGTAAATTTTCCAAATAAATATTAAGCTGCCAATTTTTTTTCTTAAATAATCGCTTGGCCAAATTATGTAAGAATTTATAGTTCATAAGGAAATAATCGACAAAAAATTATGATTATGAATAAAATCGTCACATCATTTATGGGCCATTTAAGCCAGCCAATTTAGACCTGTAAAGCACTATCAAATTTAGACCTGTAGAGCACTATCAAAAAAACCGTCATATGACATTAAGGCCATATAAATGATGAGACAATCAAAGATTGAAAGAAGTTTATGTATTAGCACAAAATAAGAGCACTACCATTCATGTTTGATTGGATAATGGTGACAATGACAACATTGTGCTCAAGGTTTACATTGATGGGGTCTTAAGTACTTAAGGTGGAGATGATAAAGTTTTATCAATTATTCTATTAGTTCTATAAGTTTCAAGTTGGTTTTTTTGCTTTATAGCCATTACAAATAATTTCATAATAGAGATTAAAGCAAATGATAGTATCTAAGTTGTGGCTAATTTTTTATGTTGATTGTGTTCGTAGAGATCAAGAGTGTCGCGGCATGCAAATGGTCACACTTTTAAAGTAAACAATATTAAAACAAACATATTTGTGCTTGTTTGTCAATTGAAAATGAAAGAAACAAGTAAGATTTACTTGGGTGGATTAGTAAGTACAAGATATAATGAAGAAGAGTTGAGTATTTTTTTTAAAAAATATCAATAATATCATATTCTGATTATCATTATTATATAGAAATTATGAGTTTTTTTGAAAGCAAGAACAAAAAAACAAATTTTTTTTAATTAAGTAATGATAATACTAAGTCTGTTGGCTTGTCAAACTAGCTCATCATTTACGACTAACACGTGTTCGGCTCGTAATCATTCTCGTTTTCAGTTCATTCATTAAGCCATCTAACCGAACAAACAAAATTTTCTTGTTCAAATGAATGATTAAGTACAAGATATAATGAAGAAGAGTTGAATATTCTTTCAAAATATATCAACTAGCCCATCATTTACTTGGGTGGATTATTAAGTACAAGATATAATGATGAGTTGAATATTCTTTCAAAATATATCAATAATATCTTTTGGATAATATTCTGATTATCATTATTATATAGAAATTATGAGTTTTTTTTAAAGTAAGGACAAAAAAACATCTTTTTTTAAATTAAGTAATGATAATACTAGGTGTGTTGTGTTGTCAAACTAGCTCATCATTTACGACTAACACGTGTTCGGCTCATAATCATTCTCACTTTCAGTTCATTCATTAAACCATCTAACTGAACAAACAAAATTTCCTTGTTCAAACGATCATGTGTTTGATCTGTTTGGGTTGATTTAAATGATATTTTAAACTATCTATATACAGGGGCGACACAGGTAGGGTCTAGGAGTGCAATTGCTCTCCCTCAAATTCGGATTTTTACTTATATGAGAGGGTAATTTGGACTTTTCCCCCTTCTAAAATATCACTTTTGTCTCTCCTGAAATATCACTTTTCACTTCGTTGCTCCGACCCTCCCACATTGCACATAGGGGTACACACACACACACACACACACACACACATATGCGTCGCGTACTCATATCAGTTGGTCTGACATCTGCTTGTCAGTTGTAAGTCCCTCTGGTCTGGGATTTGATTTTCCCCTAGTGCAGAATGTGATACTCGAATTCTTAGGCGCATGGGGATGGTCGGGGTTCGTATAATAACCTTGTGTCATTCTTTTTTATAACACACACACACACACACACACACACACACACACACACACACACACATACATACTACAAAGAGCCTCTCGGAAAAGGTTTTCTGAGCAGGAGCCAAAAACTTATATATGATATTCATTTTAATAAAAAAAAATATTTTTTTATATAAACATAATAGAAGTGTACGTTTTAATTAAAAAAAAATATTTATAGTAAAAACGTAGGATTAACCCACTTTTAATACAAATATTATTTTTTAATTAAAATAATAAATTAAGTATTATATAGTTATATTAAAAGATTTTAAAAATGTTAAATTAAATGTTTGATTTTTGTAAATATTATAATACTATATTAAAAGAATAAAATATTAGAAAGAATATTATAAAATTAAAATGTAAATATATAAGATCTGGTCCAGGAGTATATTTTGATAGAGCTCGAAGTAGTCGATTTATCTAATAGAGCCGTCCATTCACCACCTGATACTTACTACCCTAGGTCTCATCAAGAGATATTAATGATGCACGTATAATTTAAAATCAATTTATATTTATTTTTTCTCTCACATCATTTTAATATACATAATTATTAGCTTATACACGTGGACCATAACATACTATCAACGGATTTTACTAGGAGATTTGGAGGGAGTCATGGTGAAGATGTTATGATAATGCTAGAAGGTTTAAATGAACTCTCAGAGCTTTTCCAAAAGGGTGGATTAATCAATTTACGTTTATTATGACACATCCGACCAACCAACAAAACACGTTTTTTGAATATCAACTGATGATATTTCGCGACAATCACAAACAAACACTTAAAAACGATCGATTGTAGATGCTCCAAAAAGATTTTTTTGCTTATCCCGATCCATGCACATATGCAAGACCTTCAATATACACACGCAAAATATTGACAATACTATATATTATTTATATTCTGATTTATTTGGCTAAATAAAATTACACGTGGAATAATTATTCAAATAAGACTTATCAAGGATATGAAGACCAAAATTTCTATTTTAAATATAGTGTATTTAATTTATGTTGAATTTAAAAGATACATGAATTTGCAATACTTGCAAAAGTGCCAAATAAAAATAAATAAATAAATATAAATTTCGGGCACTTGCAACCACATAACCTGCCCGAATCCGCTTTTATAGAGAAACCCAAACGGCCGAGAAAACCCGGCGCAGGCTATAAATGGCTCTCCGAATCGATAACCGTCTAACGAAGATTCTCAGGAAGAAATTGGGAGATTAGATTCGTATCTCCCTCTACCCCACATTCCCAGCTAGCTGCTGGAACGCCTCTCGCCCCTTCAACGCCCTCTGAATCCGCCATTGTGAGTAATCTTACTATATCTTCCTTCGCCATTGCTTGTTTCGTTGTATCCAGTTCTACTTCATGACTCTTTACTTGAAAACATATGAATAGTCCGTTTCTTGTTTGATTCGGTGTTGTATGAACTTTCTCATCGTAAACCCTTGCTGTTTGTGATTTCTTTTTTGCGACATTTTTCTTAATTATCTTTGTTTAAAGATGTTCTACGTTGCTTTCCAATGCGGGAGGGTAATTGCATATTTGTTAGTTTTCTGGTTTGAAACTTTTAGGCCTTAAACAGATTTCTTCACATTTACAGGTAGTGTGTTAAGATTTGAGTTTTTTTCGCTAGGTTTTACTGTTGGGATAAAAATGTTCGTCATTGTTTTTTCTAAAGTTTGGGTTCGAAGTTTAAAATTTATCATTTGAGTGCAGGGAGTTGAAATCCGACATTAATTTAAAAAATTCGCTTCTAAACTTTTTCAATGATAGTGATTTTTGTTCTACACACAAAATAAGTGCAAACAAATTCATAGTTTTTTATTGTTGGATCCTGACTTGTCCGTGAAGTTGCACGCCAAGGAAAGAGTTAGAAAGAAGAATAGGAATCGAAGAACACAGAAATGATTCTCAGATGACAAACCCTATACATTGTTTAGAGATTGATTCCTTTTTCTGGAATGCACCCCTTATTTTTAATGGGTTGGCACATTCATTAGAAATGTTACAAATAATACAAATATGGCAGACGGATCCCAAGGGGTATCCCTTTTATCTTCATTCTCTTCTTCTAACGTAAAACATTATAATATTCATATAATGACTTTAATTGATAATTGTTCCTCATAAGTACTCGTTTTTATGGTCGATCATTCTCAATAATGTCTTTGCAGTCCAGCTAGTGCTTCGGCTAGTAGGAAAGGTATGTCGACCTGGATTGAGAGTTTAGCGTTGAGTTCGCCGTTCCTACATAGCCAGGCATACCTCTTTGGCAAATTGACTATGTCATCTTAGCTTACTAGCATTACTCGATAACATTGGAGAATCACTTGTCAAGTTTCCTTGGTCGACAAGTTAGTATAATTGATTATGCCAAATGATCACACCAATTTAAAAATCTGACCAACTCTTCTTATGAAGTTGACCTAAGGATTAATGATCACGCCAATTCGACGATCTGACCAACTCTCCTTATGAATCTGACCTAAGGATTTTTTTCATACATTTATATACAAGCAATCAAATAAGTTTAAGAAAGTGATTTCTGATTATGAGAATGGTTGTTGTAAGTTCATGGAACGTTTATCATTTAAAATTACGTCTTGAAAGGAATCGTTCCTTGTCAATTACTGAGCACTAAGATTACTTATCGATTCCTATTTTCCTTGGCAGTAACTAGTGATTCATCAGTAATGGTGTTTTGATAGAACTATAGATATGGAGAACACATATGGGAGCACCATGGTAGATATTAAAGAGTATATTGAAAAGGAACAAGGCAACCTCATCATTGTGATTTAAGAAAAGAATATTAAAGAAAAAGAAAGTTTGGAGACTTTAATTGAATTAGATGTCTCAATAGTGAAGAAAATTGGATTTTAGTTAAAGAAGAATAAATCAAGAAAAAATATAATATTATTTTAAAAATAAGTATTTCAAAGAGAAAACCTATCAGGTGGAATCGTAAAATATACTATTGTTTTATCCAAAAAAGTGAAGTTTAGTTATAATTGGTGTAATCACTATACATAAATAACTTAGAGTGATTTGCGTACACAATTTGAATCAAAAAAGTAAGAGCACGCTTATAATTGGCCTATCAATAATTCATTCATCATGAAATTTTTATTTAAAAAAGATGCATAAATGCAATAGCAACAACAATAATAACTATGCCTTTATCCCACAATGTGAGGTCAGCTATATGAATCTTTTTTCTCCATTTTGTTCTATTGAGTGTCATATTTTCATTTAATTCTAATAGATTAAGATCATTTTTTATACAACATGCTCAAGTCTTCTTGGGTCTACACCTACCTTTTTTACAAAAAGTTAAATCTAAAACATCTATTATCCTAACAAGATCATCAGATGGTCGACGTTTAATGTGAACAAATTTTGCTTCATAAAAAAAGATGCATAAATAGAAAACCATAATTCCTAATGAGATATTATTGCAATTTGAAGATTATAGATTTCTCATTATTGAAATTTGAAGATTAAAGATTTATAGGGAACGTTGAAGTATTTTGATAAACAAATTTTTTTTATATGATTTTAATTGCAAAAAAATGCCAAATTATTGAAGTGAAAATATTTTGATACTTACATTAATAGTAATTGAGATGTTCTGATTTAAAGTGAATTGTAGCAAGAATGTTGCAAAAACTTTGAAAAGAAGAGGAGAAGAAGCAAGGCATACTCCACATGCACAATTTAGGTGATTTGTGTATTCAAATCAAAAGAAGAAGAGAAGCGCACTCAATATTGACCTCATTAGCTAATTTATTCATCAAACAATATCAATTTGAAAGTTTATACTATCTTCCCTATTTATAAAAGAAACAACTTTGATATAAGGATATGATAATCTTGATCATCATCTTTAATACAAGTTTAATATAAAAAAATGGGCAAAATTTGGCCTAAATTTATAAGGGAACTTAATAGCTTTGATATTGGTCTATTTCAACGCTTTTGAAGCATTGAATCCTTTTAATTGTTTTATAAAAAACAGAGATTTTTTTTATTATTATTATTGATTTGCTTGATTAATCAGCCGACATGAATTCTACTACAACAACACCTTAAGTTTGCAAATACATTGTCTCGAGAAAGTTAGACGCCATGTAGTTTTCTAAAAGGTTAAACACTAGTTTTTCTATTTCATCTTTTTATCGTTTGTGTATCATATAACGGAGACCTATATCTTTATGTCACCAAGAATATTCGTTTATCATTTTTTTCCAAATATAATTTCATTTGAAATAATGGTTTCGATATCAAAGTAAGTGGGCGCAATAAGACTGATGAGCTTAGTAAAAGCAACACCTAACCTACTCATCTGTTTACCCGATTTAGACCGCTAGCATCTTACCTTACATCAAAACTCCCTACTCCCATCTTTCTCTATCCCGTCACGAGCAGTCTAGGGAAATGTAAAAGAAAAGAAGATTTGACATATAGAAAGTAGAAAGAAGAATCCCTCGTAGAAAATCAACAAATAATTCTTGGATTTGATAGTTCTTAGATAAGGCATTATATTATCAATATTGAGAATACAATTTATAAACTCATCATGAGAAAAATCTAAAATATAAGCATTGAAAGTGATCTTCCGACATATCTTGATGGAAATCTAAAAAATAGGCATTATAATTGATCTCTTACTTATTTAAAAATGAAGATAGGATTTTGCATTCAGAATCTTATATCAGAATTTCACGAAGCATGTATGAACCATGCTAAGTCACTGCAATCATAATATAGAGCATTTCTTTTGACATTCATGATTTAAAAATGTTTTATATTATTATTTTTTTTTTTCAAATTTTATCATGCAAATCATATATATTTTGTGAGTATTGTTTAAGGATTAGAATTTGGATGTTGTGGTGAAGGGACATAGTCTATAGTCCACAAGCTTTTATGGTGCAGCCCTTGAACAATCTTGAATATAGACATACAATCGATGTTATTGTATGCAAATTCACTAGGAAAAAAAATTGTAACCAAGTTTCTATTTTTTTTTAATTCCACTAAACATATCAATATAATTTGTAGGTGATGAAAAGCATCTTAAGGTTCGAGTTTACTAAAGTAAACTTAGAAGATGATACACAAGCAAATATAAAGAATAAAATTCACGATCCATTAACTTTTGTTTTTATGCAATGTTCAATTTCTTTTGATGTAAAATAAAAAAAGACATATATTCCACCAAATAATATTTTAAAAGTTACGAAAATCTTAAATTCAAAGATAATTTGAGATCAGATGAAAGTTACACAATAATGAAGATGCATGCTATAAAAGAAAATAATTTATGTATGAAACATGACCAAATCTCAATCACATGCAAACTGATGTGGGCATATGTATCCGGATCGGTTCGGTCCAAGGTTCCTCTCTAGTCGTCTTTAGAGTGCCTCCAAACTAGAGTGGGACCCACTCCCAATTATCTAGGACTAGATATGTGCTTTATCGGTGTTTAGGGCTTAGTTTTTTCGGTGATTTGCTTTGGGATAGCCGCCAACATCTATTTTTCCCTCTGTTGGCTGTATCCCAGGGTTCCAAGTGGTGCTTCGGTTGTATCTTTGTCTTCATGTTGTGTTTATCGTTCCTAAACATTTCTTCATCCTTTTCTGCATAAATTCCCTTCACCCTCGCCACTTCCCCCATGTTGCCATCACCCCAAAAACAACAAAGCTGCTTTTTTTTCCTCCACCCTTTCTTTCACCACCCATAAAACAACAAGTTGTGCTTTTCACCTCCACCACTGCTACCGCCGCCCGGGGACAACAGTCTGATCTGTTGTCCTCCCACTACTAGCTCGGTAGTCTCCTCTTTGCCACCACCCCGGATGTCCACACCCCTGGCCGACATCACCTACGCTCTAGATCCAACCCTAGTTCTAGTGTTCTGTTTTTGTTTTATTGCAATTTCTGATTTTCCTGCCTTTTGTTGTAATTCCAGACTTTGAATTCACTAATAATATTTGTTTCCCCCTTGGGTGTTTGTAAATTCAGGTATTATTTAGTATTTGAGTTAGCATAACCCTAGTTCTTTCATAAGGTGGCCTAAACCTACCAAATATAGCCAAAACTTGACTTATCCTTAATTCCCTTACTGATTTTCAAATCAACAACCCTACTTTTTTTTGCACTGTAAATCAACCACGTACACCCTTTTTTACCTCCCAAACCTAAACCCTAGCTATACCACTAAAGAGACAAATTTCATAAGCTGATAAGAAACTTACCATGGAAGAGTTGTTGCGGGAAATTTACCGACTTCAACATA